TTTTGTTAGGATTTTTTCTTGATAACTAGCAACTATTCGTATTAACAGGTGAGGCGCAATTTTTCCTTATTCTTTCGTTTATTTCCATTCTGTTTTATTCTTTTGTTGGATTTTTTTCCTTATAATTAGCAACTATTCGTATTACCAGGTCAGGCGCACTTTTTATTTTTTTGTTTATTTTATTTCTGTTTTATTCTTTTTAGCTTGCTATTTTGCTTTCTTTATAACTACCAACTATTCGAATTCAAGGAATCGTTGCTAGAAATAGGGATGTGCATGTATTTACGGTTTCTGTACGGAAGCTGTCTTATTCGATTTAATCCATAAGTAATAATTAAACATTTCTTTCTGTTTTCTCTCTCACTCTCTCCCACTCCTCTTACCTTTCTTCTGATCTTCTTCTCTCTCTCCTGCTCTTCCTTCTTCTTCTTTCTCCTTCTCCTCCTCCTCTTCTTCTTCTTCCCACTCTTCTTCGTCTTCCTCTTCCCCCTCTTCTTCTTCTTCTCCTTCTACCTGTCCGCTTCCTCCTCATCTTCATCAACATCGTTACCTCCAACTCTCCTTCCCTCTATCATGCCCTTCCTCCTTCTCTATCATTCTCATCCCTCTTTCCTACTCCTTCTTATCTCCACCTCTTCTTACCTCTCTCTTACTCTTCCTCCTTATCTCTCATTGCCCTCCCTCTCTCCTACTTTTCCTCCTTCTCTCTCATTGTCCTCCCTCTGTCCTACTCTTTTACCTTATCTTTACTTCTTCCCTCTCTTCTCTTCCTCCCTCTCTCCTACTCTACTTCCCTCTTTCTTACTCTCTTCCCTCTCTCCTACTCTTCCTCCCTCGCTCCTACTCTCCCTCCCTCTCTTCTACTCTCCCCCCTTTCTCAAACTCTTCCTCCTTCTCTCCTACTCCCCCCCCTTCTCTCCTACTCTCCCTCCTTCTCTCCTCCTCCCCCTCCTTCTTTTCTTACTCTCCCCCCTCCGCCCCTACTTCCACCCCTCGCTCCCTCTTCCACCTTTCCTCCCTCATTTCATCCCCTTATGCCTCCCCCTCCACCCTGCCCCCCACCCCCACCCCCACCCCCGCCCTCCCCCGCCCCCCTCCTCCCCGCCCACGCCACCCCCACGCCCACCCACCCCGCCCACGCCACGCCCACGCCCATCCAGGTTCAACCTCTACTACTACTCGTGCTCGTCCAACCACCCGACGCCCACCCTCGTGACCATCGACGCCCGCACGCCCACCGCCACCGAGGAGTTCAGCGCCCCCGACCTCGAGAACCTCATCCACACCAAGTGAGTGTCCGGGCGGATCTGAGGGTATGCGGGTGGGTCGAGGTCGGTAGAAGGGACTTGTGTAAGTAGGCGGTAGTGTGGGAAGTACTTATATGGACCTTGGGCTGGGTTTGTTTTTTGGGTATGCGGGTGGGTGGAGGTCTGTAGAAGTACTCGTGTAAGTAGCGGTAGTGTTGGGAAGTAGTTATATGGACCTTGGGTTGGGTTGTTTTTTTTTTGTCTCTTCTGTATGAAGGTGCATACTAACCCACGCGTATGTGGATATATACACTTATACATAAGCATGCGCTATTGTTTAAAAAAAAAAATCTCTACAAGGTAAGGTCAACGTTATTTATTTCTATGTAAAGAATATGAGAAAATCTAGAAATCACATATATATTTGTATATATATATATATATATATATATATATATATATATATATATATATATATATATATAAATATATGATGTGTGTGTGTGTGTGTGTGTGTGTGTGTGCCTGCATGCACACACATACACTTCCTTCATTATCCGTCTGAGTAAAGACATTGTTCGTGATCTTACGTACATGCACGCCCCGTTTGTCTTCTACTCTTCCTCCCTCTCTCAAACTCTCCCTCCCTCGCTCCTTCTTCTTCTCTCTCTCCTACTCTTCTTCCCTCTCTCCTACTCTTCCCCCCTCTCTCCTACACTTATGTATAAGTGTATATGTTCTTTGCAGGATAATTTCGTCTGTGAATCTGCCTTATAGTGTAGCTAAGGGTATGTGTGAGACGTGCTCATGTATGTATACGTATGCAGGTGTGTGCGTGTGAGAGATAGATTCACAGACACCTCTATTCATTTAACTTATTTTTTCGTATTTTCGATTTGCAGGTGGAACGACGCAACAGTTACCTGGAATGGAACCATGCCTTACGTTTAAGCAAAGAACCCCAAACGCATCGAGAAATTACCTCCCGACCTGTCCCTGCAGTCTTCATCTGGAGATCTCCACTGCCTTTCCTCGTGCATTGCAAGCTCTTCCTCATGCTCCATCTTCTATACTCATTGACTTACTTTACTCACACTATTTGCCCTTATATTTTCTCATGATAACTCTTTTTTTTTTTTTTTTGCTACTCTTTTGGCAGTATACTAGAACCCTTTTTATACTCATTGACTTACTTTACTCACACTATTTGCCCTTATATTTTCTCATGATAACTCTTTTTTTTTTGCTACTCTTTTGGCAGTATACTAGAACCCTTTTTATACTCATTGACTTACTCTACTCACATTATTTGCTCTTATATTTTCTCATGATGACTCTTTTGGCAGTATACTAGAACCCTTTTTATACTCATTGACTTACTCTACTCACATTATTTGCCCTTATATTTTCTCATGATGACTCTTTTTTTGTTGTTGCTCTTTTGACAGTATACTAGAACCCTTACTATTTCCTCTGTACTCATTTCCCCTCGTTCCCTTCCATCACAAGTACATCCAGAGTACAGAACGTGACGCAAATGTGACAGGAGAAATAGCCCTTCCATCACAAGTACATCCAAATGTGAAGCAAATGTGACAGGAGAAATAGCCCTTCCATCACAAGTACATCCAAATGTGAAGCAAATGTGACAGGAGGAATAGGACGTAGAATACAATCGACAGCGTTGATAGAACTTAATAAAAGCATCTTTGATAGAATGTTAGAAGTAAAGCCTGTTAGTGTTAGAGCAATCACTGGGGAGGTTCTGTCGGTTTCTGAAGGTGCTACAGCGTATGACAAATATGTCCTATATAAAAAAAACTACGTGGGGTTATTTGCAGTTAGATACATGTCATAGATTTTGTATACGTAGAATGTGTAGCAGAAAAAAAAATATATATATACTATTTTAGGCAAAACTTTCAACGACAGTATAGATATTTTATAGAAGAAAAAAATGAAATAAGTGATTATATTCAATTCGTTATTTTACTGTGAAAGAAACGAGATTTTATTCAAATAAAAGTCTAAGAAGAAAGTTTGATTTTCTGTCCTTTATAAATAAGTCAGCTCTGAACCAGATCCAAATGAATCACTAGAAAAGAAATGATAATTAGGTAAAATCAAGTGAAATAAGATCCCAAGATTGGTCTATAATGACACGCCATCTTTTATAACACGTTCTCCTTTTTTTCTTTTCGTTTCTTTTTAACCCTTAATTATAAGAAATTGGAAATCAACAGGTGGGCAAACATTAGTAATGGTCCAAAACAAAGTGTGTCATGAGGCTTGACCGTTGATTTTGTTGTTTGGAATCAATACAAGACATCAACAAAATATTATCTGCACTCAGTATCACCTTGTGAATTTTACACACACACACACAGTGAGTGAGTGAGTGAGTGAGTGAGTGAGTGAGTGAGTGAGTGAGTGAGTGACAGCATTCTCGCCTGGCAATCATGCAGACCCGTGTTCAAATCCTGTCAGCGGATGGTAAACCCAGCCATTCCTAGCACACAGGAGGTAGTTTAGAAGCACAATAAACAAACAGCCATAATTTAAGTAAAGTCAAAAGAGCCTTTCACATCAAACCCTAAATTACACTCGCGAATAAGGGCACCATATTGATAATCTATAAGAATCCTACTCTGAATATTCTTTTATCATTATTGTTGTTAGTATTATCATCACTCTTTTTCGAAGCAAGCACAGTGCACTAAAGTAGTTAGACCTTCAATTTATGCACATCTATTATTTACACAACTATACGTGGGAGAGGTAAAGAAGGAAGATAGAAATGGAAGGAAAAAGGAAAAGGGGAAATAACCTGGTTGTATGCCCACGACACCTAGGCCTACAACTTTTAATGATTCTGGTGGGCGCCGCTTCCTGCATCTAAGGTGAACTGCTAAAACTGTGAACAGCACTGGCTGCTCCGTAAGATCCTAATGGAGATCCAAGATAGGCCACTCATGTTGTTCCTGCTCCAGCTTTCCTCTGATGAGCCTCTGTGCAAGTCCTTTCCTGAGGGTGGAGGACTTCACCATAGTGTGGTCAGGCTTTTCTCTCTCCCACTCTTCTTCTTCCTCTTCCCCCTCTTCTTCTTCTTCTTCTACCTGTCCGCTTCCTCCTCATCTTCATCACCTCTCCTTTCCTCTATCATGCTCTTCCTCCTTCTCTATCATTCTCATCCCTCTCCTCGTATGTTCGTGTCTGCCAACCCCTGCAGACATCGCCCGTATATTCTCGTTAGAGGAAAGTAGACCTTCCAGCATCGTTTTTATAAAGTCGAGATACTCTCTGTCTCTTATATAAATACGTACCCTATTCATTAATATGTCATATATAATGCATGTGGTATATTTATATTTATGGAAGACATATGTTACTATGGTATACAGGCATATATACTTTAACCTCTATTTCTATATATATATTTAGTCTTTCTTGCCCGCTGCTTCTCAACCATTAACGCACAACTAACCTCTGGTGGTCAATTTCACTTGTACTTATCCAAACCTATCCAAACCTAACCTAACCTAACCTAACCTATCCAAACCTAATCTAACCTAACCTATCCTAACCTAACCTAACCTAACCTAACCTAACCTAACTAACCTAACCTAACCTAACCTAACCTAACCTAACCTAACCTAACCTAACCTAACCAACCTAACCGAACCTAACCTAACCTATCCAAACCTAACCTAACCTAACCTAACCTAACCTAACCTAACCTAGCCTAGCCTAGCC